ATAACAAACTTTGTTTTCTCAAGAAAACGAAGTAATTATTTCTTTATCTTGACATAACAAAGATCGTTATCTTGACATAACAAAGATCGTTATCTCGAAAAAACAAAGTTTGTTATCTCGAGATAACGAGATAACGAGTATGAGATAACAAAAAACAAAAATCCATGGCCGTTCTCGGCTTCCGTAACATATAGCCATGTAAAATACAGTAAATGGATACAGAAAAATTATATATAGCCTTGAAGACAGGAAGTAAAGTCTTTGTAATTAAACTGGCCCTTTTTCTATTTTTCTATTTTCTATATATATTGTTGTTAGATATTGTAATTTCCCATGTTGTTCTTATTATATTTTCTATTTTAATGTCTTTTGAGATACCAGAGCAGCAAATTTCCTTCCAGGGATCAATAAAGTATTTCTGATTCTGATTCTAATTTACAAACAAAATGAAACAAAATAAATACAATTAAAAAAGGAAGGTCTGTTGTGAATGGTGTTCTGTCAGCTAGCTATCATACAGAGTTCTTTGATCACAAAACAGAATCTAAGATATCCGAAACCCTGGACAAATAAAACCAAATTATTACTAAAAGGAATACCTCTACATTACCTCAACATTTTTTAGATAATTGTTTCTCAATTTAGGCGACTTAAAGTGACACAATGAACAAAATATCAGTGATGTTAAAACATGAAACAACTTCTATGTTCTCTGATCTGATTTGAAACTAGAAAGACTTTTTCTCGTTGACTTTTTTTTAATTTCAAATATGCACTAATACTCTCACCTGCAATTATTTATTATGTATTGATTATTATTTTAGTAAAATTACAGTATAAATGTTTGTGAGCTGAGGAAATTGTACAATTCTTGCCCATATAAAACTGCTCCGGAACAAACAAAAGAAGGTGGTCACGGAGACGAATAAGAGTTTTGCACGAGCCTGTGGTGGAACTAGAGTTATTGTGCATTAGGGGAACAAAACGTTCACAGTGGAACAATTATATTTTTGCTTACGAACACTGCACACACATTATCAAACAGAGTGCAAAATTAAGCTTGTGGCTAATTAGCTCAACAGTCTGTTTTCTGTTGTATTGAGCTTATTGTCATTACACTTCCATATATTCTGCTTGCATTGTTGTGTCCGTATAAATGTTATGGTATTCCTATAGAATCCATTACACATTAATTAAGCATCAATTAGCACCAGACCTTATGTTAACAAATACATTAATTTCAGGAATTAGACTGAGCTTTTAATAGTCCGATTAGAGATGAAGAACATATGAGATTTGGTGTCTCTCTGGGCTTCCAGGCAATATGGGAAGAAACAGCCGTGCTGTGGGATTCCTCCTGCCTGCGAGTGTGTACGGTTGGTATGTATAATATATTTTTGGAAACTCATAGTTAAGAATGAGACCATTTGGGAAATTACTGCAACACAAACTCGCAGGATGAAGCGAACTGCTCTGTGAAATGACTGCTACTCTCAGAATAGCAGATAAAGCAAGCTCGGGTCCACTTTTTCCCCGTTAAAGTGCGCAGGACGCGGAAATAAATCAAAGCCTGAGTTGTGGGGATAAATTGCGGAGAAGGGGAATAAAGTGGGTGTAACTCTGCACGCTGTAGTTCCTCTCTGGACCGGCGCACTTTACAGCCTTACGATGTGATAGGAAAATAATTGTCTGCAGCTGCTGAGTCCTGTCACTCATGCGTGTTTTTAAACACTCACTTGTATATATTATGCATATGTTAATGTACTTGCTCGGCTTCGTACAGAATGTGAGGTTGTCGGAGTAACGGCACCAGTTTGAGGTGAGTTAATCGAATAGAAAGCAGCACGGGCACCTCCGAGATACTTTATTCCCAGGGGCCACACGGAGCATTTTCCCCCAGTCTAGAAATGGAAACATCCCCTCAGACTCTTGGGAAGCACATCTAAAATTCATCCATCAGTTCTCTCTGGTGTATATAAATACCCATGTGGCAATGTGGAGCAGTCTCACACCGGTTTGTCCTATAATGTGGGGCTCACAGATGGGAATGGATGGGCATGACTCAAGTAGGTGGTAAAGTGCTGCGAGCGAAAAGTGCTCCGCTCTGTTTTTAGGCCTATTTCCCCAAATAAAAGCAATCAGCGAAATATTAAGCTCGCTGATCCACATTTAGGGAGCGGGGAGCTGTCTCCCAACGTGGCCTTCCTGTAAAGAGGTCTACAGTAGAGGGATGAATCACACAGGCAGACATGCTGGCCTGCTTTAGATGCACCAGGAAGCAAGTATTCTCTAAAGGTTCATTTTAGATTTACTTCTCCTTACCAGGCGTTTCTAACGGGATGGGAAAAACATTAGTGTGCCTCCCCGAATGAGGGAGACAAACAGTGTTAACAATGCGCTTTTAGTGTAGCTCTGAGGCACAAAACTTTTTTCCAAAAATGACAAGTGCTAAGAAAAGAAACGCATCAGAGTAAATATCAAAATGTCGAGGTCTCAACTTATTTGTTGCATTTTAAGTTGTTTAACCTTTTACTGCTGTGAATGTATGAAAAAGCAGACAGACCTTTGAAACAAATCAGCTTGTTTGGTATTATGAGAGAGGTAGAAAAGCATTAATAGCTTCAGGAAATGTCATATGTGTATCTATCAGCATTAAGACATTTATATTCCAGGCATCCGCAGTCTTTGGAAGCACATGGATGGAGTGTCTGTGAAAGTCTGCAGTTTGTGTTTAAAATCAGATGCCTCCTTTTGATAAAAAGATGAACAGATAAAAAAATATATATATTCATTATATCATATAATATATATTTAATTATATTATGAATTAAAATATGTGCAGTAATTATCTACCAGGGACAGTCTGAAGCTCTGACTCAGTGTTTTTTGAGGTCAGTGGCTCATCCTGAGGTTTGTGTTTCAGCAGAGATTGGAAGCTTTCTTTCAAAACACTAATGATGATGTTCAGAGGTCTTGAACAGTGTCCCAAACAAGGCCAGGTGCTTTATTAAAAGCATACTGATAGCCTGTAATGGTGTGAATATGGTTCATGTCAAAAGCTCTGTCGGCTGAAAGCTAATAACAGCAGACAGCTTCATGTTCCTCTTATCTACTGTTACTAAGATGCTGAATTAGTGGGGAGGCAGGAATGTTGAGAGATGGTTAATTGTTCCATGCAAGATTTAGTGTTCTTCAGGTTCTTCAAGTAGTTTGTGCTGTTGGCAATCATGTCAGCATAAATCAACCCCTTCATTGCCTGGGTAAAAAAGGCACTTAGCAGATTTATGGCGTCATAATAAGACGCCTGAGACCCCCCCCCCCCCCAGGGGCCATGTAAATCCACAAAAAGTTGAAAGCTGCAGGCACCGTCAGATGGTTTATTGGAAGGAAAACCTTAACATTGCACACACACTCATTCACACACTACGTATATGCATGCAAATCCAGCTGCTATGAAGTTTTCCATGTGAAAACGGGGCAAACATGGCTTTGATTCATGCACGCTAGCTGGGAAAACGATGGCGTGAACATGGATAGCATGACACGATTATATAACTCAAACATACAGAGCAAAACATGATTTATTCTGCAGAGAACTGACATGCAGTTGTCTTTTATCAACTGCAAACAAAACATATTTTTACAAATAATTCATTATTCCTACCTTAATTAAAGCTGCAAGCAGAGAGGAACGGTCCTCACAGTCACAGGCGTGTCACCCCTGTGTTATGCACCAGCAATCATGTGTAGACCACACCGTGAAAATTTCATGTAAATCAGAATGATGCGCATACAAGGCTACTTCCTGTTTCCAGTAGTGAAACATGCCAGTTTTGGTGCAGGTCTTTAGAATGCACTGACAAATTGAGGTGAATCCTATAAATTCTAAGGAAGGAGTTAATTATACAACACGTATAAACCTCCAAAATATTACCACAAAATTAAAAATGGCTGACTTCTTGTTGAGTTTGGGACATGGATGAAGGATGTCACTTTTTGCTTTTGAACCTGTCTCATCATCTGACACGATGATTCTCCAACTTCCTTCTCGAATGTCTGGCGAGAGGAGAGCCCGTGTCACAGTCGGATTTTTGGGGTGTAGCACCGACTGACACTGTGTCCTACTTTCGCTACAGGCTGGTGTACCATCGTAGGCCTTCGACACTTCCGTGGGTCCATTTTTGGCTGCTGGCGATAATGGGCTGGGCAAAGAAGTCGGACACTGTGAGTTTGATACTGCTCATGGAGTTTTGGGCGGGCATTTAACTGGTGGACTCACAAAACACATCCCCTACCAGAGAGAATGTGCCTGGAGAAATAAGTGCAGTGTTTTATTAAGCCCCAATAAATAGAGTTCACCAATCGATTCACAGCATGCTAAATTGCGAGGAATATGGAAGAAACTATGGAAACTACCAGTATATTTTGCTCCTAGAAAATAATAATTCATTCGATGTGTGAAAGTAAAAGAAGAAAAAGTAAGATGTATCGTGTGAAAATTGATGTGCCTAATTTAATTATCCTAGGAGATGGAATA